TGATATTCCGGACAACCCAGATAGTGTGGTTGCTGACCTTGAGCCAGACATTCTGGAGAGTGAAGTCAAGTGGGCCTAAGAAAGCCTGGCTAACAACAAGGCCAGTGGAGGTGATGGCATTCCAGTTGAACTGTTTGAAATCTTAAAATATGACGCTGTTAAGGTACTACACTTCATATGCCAACAAGTTTGGGAAACTCAACAGTGGCCAGAATTGGAAAAGATCAATCTACATCCCAATCCCAAAGAAGGGCAGTGCCAAAGAATTCTCCAATTATCGTACAATTGCACTCATTTCACACCCTAGCAAGGTTATGCTCAAAATCTTCCAAGGTAGGCTTCAGCAGTATGTGCACCGAGAACTCCAAAAAGTACAAGCTGGATTTCGAAGGGGCAGAGAAACCCAAGAGCAAATTGCTAATATGCACTGGATTATGGAGAAATACTAAGAGTTCCTGAAAAACATCTACTTCTGTTTCATTGTCTATGCAAAAGCCCTTGACTGTGTGGACCACATCAAACTATGGCAAGTTCCTAAAGAAATGGGAGTGTCTGACCACCTTATCCATCCCTGAGAAATCTATATGTGGGACAGGAAGCAACAGTTAGAACTGGATATGGAAAAACTCATTGGTTCAAAACTGGGAGAGGGGTACAACAAGGCTGTATATTGTCACCCAACTCATTTAACTTATATGCAGAATACATCATGCAAAAGGCTGGACTGGAGGAATCCTAAACCGGAATTAAGATTGCCGGAAGAAATATCAACAACCTCAGGTATGCAGATGATACCACTCCGATGGCAGAAAGTGAAGAGGAATTAAAGAACCTCTTAATGAGAGTGAAAGCGGAGAGTGCAAAAAATGGCTTGAAGCTCAACATAAAAAAAAAAACTAAGATCATGGCCACTGGTCTCATCACCTCTTGGCAAACAGAAGGGGAAGATATGGAGGCAGTGACAGATTTTACTTTCTTGGGCTCCATGATCACTGCAGATGGTGACAGCAGCCAGGATTTTAAAAGACGCCTGCTTCTTGGGAGGAAAGCGATGACAAACCTTGACAGCATCTTAAAAAGCAGAGACATCACCTTGCCAACAAAGGTCCACATAGTCAAAGCTATGGTTTTACCGGGAGCGATGTAGGGAAATGAGAGCTGGACCACAAAGAAGGCTGACCGCCGAAGAATTGATGCTTTTGAATTGTGGTGCTGGAGGAGACTCTGGAGAGTCCCCTGTACTGCTAAGAGAACAAACCTATCCATTCTGAAGAAAATCAAGGTCCACATAGTCAAAGCTATGGTTTTACCGGGAGCGATGTAGGGAAATGAGAGCTGGACCACAAAGAAGGCTGACCGCCGAAGAATTGATGCTTTTGAATTGTGGTGCTGGAGGAGACTCTGGAGAGTCCCCTGTACTGCTAAGAGAACAAACCTATCCATTCTGAAGAAAATCAACCCTGAGTGCTCACTGGAAGGACAGATCCTGAAGCTGAGGCTCCAATACTTTGGCCATCTCATGAGAAGAGAAGACTCCCTGGAAAAGACGCTGATGTTAGGAAAGTGCGAAGGCAAGAGGAGAAGGGGACGACAGAGGATGAGAAGGATGGACAGTGTCACCAAAAGTACCATCATGAGTTTGACCAAACTCCGGGAGACAGTGGAAGACAGGAGGGCCTGGGGTGCTCTGGTCAATGGGGTCACGAAGAGTCGGACATGACTTATCAACCAAACAACAAGGAAAAACTAGTTGATATGTTTATAACCTGCTTCTCTTTCCTTTCCTTTTAAATTTTCCTATGCTAAGATGCTCCCCAATCATAGGCAATATGCACTGTGCTTATGTCTAGGACAGCATCAATTAACTACTGTGTCAAACCAGTGGTGGGGAACCTGTGGTGCTTTGAGTATTGTTTCATTCCAACTCCCATCAACTCCAGGCAATACAGATATTTTTAGGGATAATGGAAATCATGGCCAAATGATTTCCGCGCAAAGTTTATTCTTAAGATTCAACAGCCTAAAACGTCTTACATAGTTACACTACTACAGCATAAAATGACTACACCAGGATGTAAGTTGCCCCAAGCTAAGAAGTCACCTTAGACATTGTTTGTTGCATACCAAGTTGTGTGACTCAGCAAGCAACTTACAATGTCTAAGGTGATTTCTTAACTTGGGGCAATTCACCCCCAAAAGTTAAAGCCATTTGCTTAGCTATGCCAGAAGATTTTGACCAACATATAATTCAGAAATGATTTTGCATAGAGGATTCCTACCTCTGTCCGCCTGTTAGCGCTTCCTTCTTCATCTTTTTTTTCTTCAGGCATGGCAACAAGTGGAAAGCCCCCTTCACTGCTTTCCTCTTTTGAATGATGCTTTGGTGGCCTCTCCATGTTGTCTTCGGAGTTGCGGAAGTCATACTTGTGGGAACTCATAGCCAGCTTCATAGACCTGTCTGGGTCTTCACTGCTTTCTGTTTCTTCTCCACGCTTTGTGGTGGTCAGTTGCTTGGCCAGCTCATCCATTTTGTTCCATTTCTTGGCATCTTCTAAAGCTCTGGAGGAATCCTCTTCCATTTCCTCACGTTCAGTATCCCTAACATGGGAGGAATCATCATCCTGCCTGGTTTCATCAAGAGAGTGATGTCTTCCTCCTTTTGTGTGGTGGTATTTCTCTTTTTCTCCTGAAGCATTTTCATCCTGTTCAAATCTTTTCGTGTCCTGGTTATCTAGAAGGATATCGGCAAACATGCATATGTGTTTATTCATTGTATGTGGATCCTTTGTTTACTTCAAGTGAACTGAATCCAGTCATTACTTCTCCCGACTCAGAAATATATTCCTTACTAATAACTTTACTAAGAAACTTAAAAGTGCCATTCCAGACATGACATTTTAAAGTATTTACCCAGGACATTTCAAACACACACCTATAAATATTTTCTGAATGTGACAAAGTATGGAAGTATGTATAATATATATGCACACTAGTTACAGAGTGAAAACTGGCTGTAAACCTCTTGGACTTGCGTACTTGGTGGTACCTGGTTAATATTTCAATGACGTGCTAAGACAGAAACCCATGTTCATCATTAGAAAGACATTCATGACCAGAATTATGAATCACTGCCAACACACTGAATCCACTCCAGCCACAGCTTAAGATTTACTACTGATTTCAGTGTGGGAATGATCAGCCACAAATAGTTCCTATGTAAAAATGTTTAGCTTATAATGGGTGGTGTCCATCCATTGTCTGAATTGTAAGTAAGAAAAAAATGGACTTTTACAAGCTGTGCCCACTGTTAGAAGACAGAAATATAGTCATTATTGTTTGTGATTTGGAGGGTTCTTCATAATACTATTGAAGGTCCCTCTTTGGGGTTACCTTTAAAAACTGGCAAGAAAACTTTTGTCTGATTCTTTAGTAGTTGGTTTCCCCACATGTCTTCAAACATCTGCACCAGCTGCACATTTGTCCCTGGGAACACTGAACATGCCTTTATTATATCTTTAGATCCCTAATTGGCTTCTCTCCTGGTGATCTGAGGGAGTTATCTCCTTGTACATTATAAACCCCCTCATGGAGGGGTGCATAATTTCCTCTTTGTTCCTCTGACTGAGTGATCAAAAATGACATCAGTAACCACAGCACCAATCCCCATCCACCCCTCTGTTTCCATGTCGAGCAAGTATGCCGGGCCAAGGAAAAGGTGCAAGAATAGCCAAGTGTCACATGCCCACCCCCAGTCTTGCCATTTTGTAAATAACACTGAAATAGAACTGATCACCTGACATTTATGCTCAGGGTGAAGTAGGTGTTAGTGAATGCAGGCCTCGCAAAGTAATCAATGAAATAAGGGGGCTTGGGCATATACCGATGGACGTACCATCTTCCCTTTGATCCTCCATATCCTCTGAACTGAGAGGATTTTCCTCTTCAGAGGTGTTCCTCTCTTTCTCTTCTTCTTCTTCTTCATCTTCATCTCCTCCTTCTTCTCCGTCCTTTTCTTCCTCTTCCTCATCCTCTTCTTCTTCCTCAATCTGTTCTCTGACATTTTCCTCTTTGCTTTCCTCATGGCTGTGTTGGTAAGCATGCTCCTTCTCCTCTTCTTCAAATTCATCTGCTTCTCTCTGGTCAGGCACCTCGTCATCTTGGGCATTGTTGCGGATATGATTGTCTATGGCGTCATCCCATGGCAGTTCAGTCTCACTAACCTTGTTGCTATCAAATCCCACACCGTTTTCCTTGTCGTCTTCAGACTCAACATCTCGAACCCTAGGCTCTCTCTCCCCCCAGCTATTTCCCTCCTCTTTGGAACCATCCCTTTCTCTGTTCTGCTGACTCTTCTCTGCCTCTAGCTCAGCCAAGGAAGCAACAGGATCCTCATCTGGAGACTCGTCCAATAGATCTGGAAGTCAAATAATAAAACAAGAATGAAGCAAAAAAGCAGGAAATAATTCTGTATATGTGTGTAATGGAATGCTAGATACATGAAAAAAACCCATGAATCCATAACCAAATATCTTAACATCTGCTATATGAAACACAGATGAGGTCTGATGTATAACCAAGGTTGTGGGAAGTGGTACCCAAAGTCTGGAATGGTTTTGGTGGAAAAACTATAATTAGGCTCATGCTCCGGATATATAAAATCATAAAATTACATATTTCAGTTTTTTAGTTTTTAGTTTATTTTAGTTTTTTATTTCATTTATTATTAAGTTATTTTCACTTCTAAGAAGAAAGAAAAGTACTTTTGTGATTTGCTGCCTTGAGTGTCAGAACTATTTGGACCACTTTAAGGGATAAGAGTAACTGACTTAGAAGCAGGTGTTGTTCTTTACTTCAACTCATGCAACAGAATGTCCTGAGAGCTGACCTTTGCTGTATGGGATGGAGCGTTTTTGTGTTTACTAGAGAGCTGGAAGTTCAATATGGCTCCATGGCTGAAGTTTTCCTCCAGTGCAGGAACAACCGTGTGGTGTTCATATGTTTACACCACTGTGGTGGTTGACTTCCGATGTGGAGCAGCTGGGCATGCAAGGCCATTTGAAATTAAATCCAGGCTCACGTTGCTGTGCTTGGATTTTGTGTGGGTTATGCTGACACCAACCTCTTTCTGTGTTTGTGTTGCTTTGGCTTTCAAGGACTTCGGAGAGCTCATCTTCAAATCCGTGACTTTTCTTTTGTTGCTCTGTCCTTTCACTTGCCCCTATTGCACATGGCCAAGTTGTGAAGGAAGGTGAGAAAGTGAAATAAGCATTTGAGAACTCTCCTCTTGTCAAATCACAAAGACTATTTCAACATATTCCTTCCCAGAACAACAAACACAGTAAACACCCAGATATTTTTTCCATTTTGCTGCATTTTTGAAAGTTCTGTTTTAAAGAGCAATGTCATACTAAATGTCCAGTTCTATGTTGCTGTGGCACATCATGAGAAGGGAACAAACACTACGCACATATTGCTATAAAGATAAAAACAGACATCCAAGAGCAAACTCCATGTTGATCTGAGCATGTTCAAGAGAATTAGAAGATCCCCAGTATGAAATTTGCCTCTGCTGTGAATTCATCATACAACCATAAAAGCCACTGTTTCTCTCAACCTCAACCCACCCAGATAAGCAATATGAAGGCATAATGACACAATAGAGTGCCCTGTAGAGTTGTGAAGTTTGCAACTCAGTAATGCCTGTGAAATGCTTTGAAAACACGGGCACTAAACAGCTCAATGCTCTCAATTCCATGTGCTAAACCAACATAACTGCAGTATCAGCTACTATCATAACTGTTGACTGAAATCCTGTTTTACAGTGGGAATGGAATCATCAGCACTGGCAAATCGCTGCTAAGGGTTTCCTTTGGCTATTTTATGGTGCATTTAACTCATACACAATGCAACCGAAGTCATGTGCACCCAAACCATATTACTCAAAACAAAACCATTTAGCCAACAAATATTCTAAGGAATGTATATATTCTACAATGACTTGTTTAAAATGAATAAACTATGCATAATTGTGCTCTTATTTTGTAGAATTCATTCTGCTTTTTCAGTTTTTTAATTTACTTGTGATTTGAAGACACCTAAAGGGCTGTATTTGCTATCATCCCCACCACACTATTAGTCAGCAGAGAAGTTATTCAGCTGCCTCATCAATTCCTGATTACACACTATTTCAGTCCTTATATGAACATTTGGAACAACTAGAAGGATAGTGTTGGTCTAATGAAAGCTATCTTTCTCAAGAGTTAAGACCAAAATATATTTCTTATATGAACATTTGGAACAACTAGAAGGATATTGTTGGTCTAATGAGAGCTATCTTTCTCAAGAGATAAGACCAAAATTTATGCTACAGAGAACCCATGATTTAGAAAAGGAATTTCTTTCATACTGGTTGTTGTGGGGTTTTCGGGCTCTTTGGCCATGTTCTGAAGGTTGTTCTTCTAAAGAACAACCTTCAGAACACGGCCAAAGATCCTGGCCGTGAAAGCCTTTGCAAATACATTCTTTCATACTGACAACAGTTGACTTTTACAGCCGTGAAAGCCTTCGCAAATACATTCTTTCATACTGACAACAGCTGACTGTTACGGATGGAGCTTTTCACACTTCCTGTATTTTGTGAATTAGCTTGTGTTTTCTTTTTATTAGTCTTCAGATAGTTTGAAGATTGGCTTGCTTTGTTCTCTTATTGGGCATCTGACATATATTTGGCCTTCATTTGCAAGTATGACTGCCCATTCACAAAGGTCTGCCTGAATGACACCTGTGGAATACGAACAGATTTCCATCTTCTAATCATAGGCCATCTGTTATGTATTGTATTTATTTATTACAGTCAGGTGACCAGCTTGTAAAACATTTTATATGGCTAAAATATAAAAAATGCAAATAAAAGCGTGTACAACAGATAATTAGTTGTGTAGTAGTTATGGTATATGGGGAGAATCAGTTACAGCATTTTTATAACCATCCTTTGAACCATTGGATCATCTAGGGCAAACTGGTTTGGACACACGTTTTGGGGTATAGGGAATCCTTCATAAATATTTATAAGCATTTGTGAACATTTCATCCCTTTGGTTGGGACCACAAAATTTCTCTATGCTCAATAAACCACCCTCAGGCTAACACCGATCAACCTGTGACCTCGGGAGACTATAAGGGAGCGCTATAATGTAGAGTTTGGCTGATAGGACCAAATGTGTCCCATGTCCTTTTTCTGCATGCCTGGATCAGATATCCCTAGCCATTTCTTCTGTGCACTGAAATGCCAGTCAGTGTTCTGCCACGTGCCCACACCCACACCCCATGATTTCAGCTGAACTGCACCTTGGATTGCGATTTCCTGAAGCTCCTTTAGTAAGTTCTGATGGCGAAGGATAGAACGGATCCTTTCATCTGTAAAAAAAGAAACTGTTATGTGAGTTCTCCTGTAACCGGAGGCTGGCATAAGATACATTTTTCTCATCAGAGTTCCATTAGCATTTTAGATAGATGAGATTCGTGGTTTTTTTTGGTTTGTTTGTTTATCAAATTCATTATGGCAATCCATTAAAAAAATTGCATTTAAAAATTCATACTGAATTCTTTATTAAACTCTTCATTTTAGAAGCGGTTAAAGTTACAGTCTTAAGGCATGCTATTGAAGCTGATGAGCTGAAACAAATCTGAAGCTTTTCTCACTAAGACCATGGTAGCTGGGGATTATGGGCGCTGTAATCTGGAAAAGACCCCCGTCTTTCCTCAATCCCCAAAAGAACAGAAAAAGAGAAACTAGACACTGTACCTCCTTGAAGAATTTCTAGGCATTCCTGGCTGATTGGGATTGGATTTGGCTTTGACACCGTGTCGGAAATGACCTCAGCAATGCATTTCATCACCTAGAAAAACATCAAATAAAGGTGTATGCCTTTATTAATGCTTTGTTCTTTGCCCAAGGAACTACAGACCATATGTGTGTTTCTTCCATGCACCACATTCCCCCACCCCTCAACAACCCTGTGAGATCAGTTAGGACGCGGGATTGCAGCCAGCCCAAGAAATCAAGACGGCTTCATGGCTCTATTGGGATTTGAACCAGTATCCCCCTCAGTTCCATTCCAGCAATAATCAGCCACTACACTATTTAGGTAAATGAGAAAATGAAACTTGTATTGTTCTAATTATGTTTAATCTATATTCCCTCTCTGTTCTCTTTATCTCAGATTATTTGTACTGCCTAAGTAGACTGGCATCAAGGAGCAATCAGCACAGAAAGAGCAGAACCAGGAGGATGTGGAGGGTCCTGCTGCACTAAAGCTGTACTATTTCCTACTAATTGTTCCTTCTCTTTTAAAAGTCCATATTTTCTATATTATTCATGAATTTTTATTGCTTTAGTTGCCTATCTTTATGCCAAAAAATTTATTCAAGGACAATTTAATGATACTCAGCTTAAAATTTAAAAACAAAATCTTAATTCAACCACAACATAAAAACAGATCAATGGGGGGAAAAACAGTGATAAAAGAAACAGGCAGAGCTCAATCAATTAAAATCCCTTTCAGAAATAGTCCAGTTTACATGCCAAATTGTTGTTGATATATGCTGTCAAGTCACATCTGAATTAATGTCCTCCAAAAGATCATGTTATGAATTTGCAAGCTAAAGTCTGTGGTTTTCTTTACTGAATCTATCTAAAGTTTGGTCTTCCTCTTGGCTGTTGCCTTCTGTTTTTTTACCATTATTGTCTTTTCTGGTGAGTCTCCTCTTTCCATAATACGTCCAAAATACAATAGCTTTGTTGTAGTCATTTTAGCTTCTACTGTGAGTTTAGGCTTGATCTGATCTAGAACCCATGTATTTGTCTTTCTGGTGGTCCATGCTAATTGTAAATCTCTTCTTGAACACCACATGCCAAATGAATTGTCACTGGGAATTTTTCTGTCGGCTTTTTTATTGTCTGGCTTTTATATTGAAATTATAACTGAAACTATCATAGTATGGATAATACTGTCTTGTCCTTGGTCTCCAGAAACATTTCCTTACACAGTTAATTATTCTTTCGTTTCTTCATAGCTGCTCTTCCAAGTTTCTGTCCTTTTCTGATTTCTTGGCAGCATTCTCATTTGGACTGATGATTTAAAAAGATATAGAAAATCTTTAACAATTTCCATTTCATCATTGTCATCCTGAAAGTTATACAATTCTTATGTATTCTTGATTGTCATCTTCTTAATGGTCAACTATAATCCTGCTTTTGCATTTGATTCTTTCATCTTCATTAGTAGTCTTTTTATTGCTTCCTGCCAGTAATATGGTTTTATTTGCATATCTTTTTAATTAATTATTATATGAAAATAATCCTGTCACCAATTTTGTGGGAGATATACTTGTCTGGCACTTTTGTCAACTGAGAATCATTCTGCTTCTCCATTTTTTGCCCTACTATCCCCTTCTCTAGAGTTCAAGTTACACCTCAGGATAATCAAATTTTCTGGCACAAACATTTCTTTCAGAACCTGTAGTTTCTGAAAATAAAGTAAAAGTTGCTCTCAAAGCAATTGGAAGAAATAAATTAGCTGGAGTAGGTGGGATAACAATAGAGCTCTTTCAAGCAACAGAGATAATAAGATTATCATATTAAACATGGAAAAGAAAATGTTCTACAGATTGGAAATGTCCGTTATATATGCCAGTTCCCAACAAAAGAGATGCTAAAGTATGCAGTAACTGTAGGACCATTGCATTCATTTTCCATACAAGCAAATTGATGCTTAAAATTTTCTAACAAAGATTATTACCATATAGCAACTGAAAAATGACACATTTTCAACTTGGATTTGGAAATGAAAGAAACACTAGAGATCATATTGCAAATATATATCAGCTACTGGAGCATACCAAAGAGTTTCAGAAGAATATTAGGAGATGGATTATAGACTACAAAAAAAGTCTCTGACTATGTAGAAAAACTGGTGTAATGGTCAGAGTGATAAATTAGAAATCAGCAGTTCTTGGTTTAAATACAGTGGTGCCTTAACTTACGAATGCCCTGACCTATGAACAATTTGACTTACGAACAGCTCTGGTCGCAAAATTTTGCTTTGACTTGCAGCCAGAGCTTTGATCTACGAACAAAAAAAGGCAGGGGGGAAAGGCGGGAAATTAAAAAAAGCTAACCGTTGGTGGTGAAGAGGCTGCTTCTTTGTAGCTCTTTCAACTCAACGGTTAGGGAAAGAGAGGCTCAGCCTCCCAGGCTTCTGGTGCCGCCGCCATCGCCGCCTTCAGAGGCCTCCCAGGACTTCCCCACCACCATGAGAGACCTCCCGGGGTTCCCTCACTGCCGCTGATCGCTGTCTTTGGAGGTCTCCCAGGGCTTCCCCACCAGTATGTGAGACCTCCTGGGGGTCCCCCCCGCCAGCAATCACTGCCTTCAGGCTTTCCCAGGGGGTAGACCAGGTGGCAATTGCGGTGGTGGCGGACCCCCAGGAGGTCTCCCATGGTGACGATTGCAAAATCCACATCACTATGCAGATTCATCGTTAAACGGTGCGCTCGTTATGCAAGGCACCACTGTATTTTAATATTAATATTTAATTTACCGTGATTTTAAGTACACTTTTTAAAGCTGCTGTACACCATCCTGAGTGGCTTCTCTGGGAGAAATAAATTTAAAAAAATATTTAAAGCATTTCTCTTTTATCTTTCTGCCTTGGGATTTCTACAACTGCTCTTTTAATGTAAATTAAAAGAGAAATGCAGGAAGGAGCATGTATTGGTTACAGGAACTTGGAAACTGGCTCGGGTGCAACACAACAGGTTGCAACCAGAGTCAGTATAGCTATGTTTAACTTACCATAAAAGAGGAATATAAGACAGAAACCTTTCTTCTGATTTTCTTTTTCTTTATCTTTTTTCTTTTTCTTTTGTGTATCACCATCTTGGAAATTTGTTGCTTAGAACTAATAGTATAACTGCATTTTTATATGTTATTTTAACCTGTTTTAACTGATGTAAGCCGCCCCGAGTAGACGTTGTCTAGAGGGGCGGGGTAAAAATCAAATCAAATCAAATCAATCAATCAATCAATCAATCAATCAATCAATCAATTTCTATAGTCTACCAAGGTAGTGAATTTGTATATACAGTATATAAACAATAACATAAGGAATGATAAAACTATGAAACAAGGACACAGAAAAATAATAATGAAAAAAATAAGTAAAACCATTGAAACCTTTTAAAAATCATTTAAAAATACAGTTTATAAAGATAACATGAAGAAACTTTTCATACTTCCTTTGGTGACCCATGTAATAGATGCTCCAGTGTTTTTTATTCCCAAAAACCTCTGGAGTTTTTCAGCACATGTTTAGAACTGCTGCAAGGTGATATATTTGAGATCCTCTCCAATCAGCACCTTAGTGGAATATGTATGCTGTTCCATAAAGATTGTGGAACCAACCTATTGCTGTACTATGTGGTTGATTTTCTCAGGCTTTCTGATAGCTTATTGCTAGCATAGTGACATGATGTAGTAGGTAATAATCAGAGTAACAGCAAAATAGTAATAAAAATTAAATTTCAATTGTACCCTGATTTTGATGCAAATTACACTACTCCCCCGATACAAACTCACAAGTCCTTTATTTGCCTAAATTAAAAATGCTTCAGCACAAATGCTTTAGCTTTTAAAGCTGTACACAATTTCTAAACCAATGTTGAAATGAAGGTTATCATCATCATCATCATTTACAACTGCAGAGATGGAATGGACCCTATGGATAATCAAGTCCGGCCTCTATCAAGACACATAGTGGGGGATCGAACTCCCAACCACTGACTCCGCAGCCAGATGCCTAAACCACTGAGCTATCCAGTTTTTCCTATCCCAATTCGTCAATCATGTATATATCGCTGAGAGTACTTGCCTCCAAATCATGGCTGAGAGGGCTTGCAGTGTTCCAAAATATTTAAGTCCTGCTCTTTCAATTGTTTGCCGAGCTCCACATCGCAATTTGATCATATTTATAAAGGGTAGTAATTCATAATGGCTTCTATATCCATGAAGCAAGCAAACTGGGTCATATTAAGTAGAAGAGTGCTTAAAATAGCTATTATAAAGTACTGTGGGTGGATCTCAATGTATTTGTGTGTGTGTGTGTTTATACAAATGGAACACTTTGAAAACCTTAATCATCAGCAGAGGTTTTTTTTTCAATCTACGTTTACCACTTCAGACTGAAGGCAGATTATCACAGCTCTTTTTAAATTTACAGGGAGATAGTGACTGATTCTCAGCTGCCAATAATATTCCTTACTTGAGTCATCTTCAAATGTTTGCTATTTTTTTATTTTTTTATTTTTAAAAAACTAGGGATAAAGTAAGGAGTACAAAAGGTAGAGGGGGATATGGGGGGAAGAGGGGGGAAGGAGAACACAAAATGTACTGTCATCCAATCTGTTTGTTCATGTTGTGATATCAAGTCGACTTTTCGCCTTTCTACAATTTGATTGCCCTCCAGGTTTCAACTTACAGTTACATCTTAACTTAATTCTATGTTATTCAAGCGCTATCTGGTGACTCACACCATTTATATAATAAATCCCATCATTCAGTTGCCTTTTGTATTGGACAGTCTTTCAACACTTCTGATAGAATATCCATTTCTGCCGCTTCCCATATCTTCTCAATGAGTTCCTCTTGTTTCGGTATCTCCGATTTCTTCTAATTCTTAGCATACAGAATTCTGGCCGGAGTGACTATATATATAAAACTAGGTAGTTCCTTGTCTTATCTATATTATCTGGTATAATGTTCAGTAAAAACAATTCTGAGTTTAGTGGAACATTACAAAACAGTATTTTTTTGTAACAGGGTATGTACTGCTATCCAATA